GGGGGGGGGGGGGGGGGGGGGGGGGCGTACTCATAGCCGTGCATGCCGTAGTCGTTATGCCATTGGCATTGCATCCCTACAAAGCCGGGACGGAGCACACCGGGTTCTCACCAGGTGGGGGCGCAATAAAGATAGGGGGGAATACCAGAACAGATACCAATCGGGCGGTCTTGTAGCAATCGGGTGTTTTTCCAAGTGTCGTAGGTCATGATGATGGTCGAAAGCTGCGGTTCTGAGTGTGTGCGGGGAGGTAGGTTATCTCGTTCCTTGCACCCCTTGACAGTGCCGTGGGTTGTGACCACGAGGGTTGCCGGACCACCATCTACGGAAGAGGGGTCTGAACCTTTCCTAGTGAGAAGACAACAACAACAACAACAACAACAACAACAACAGCAACAAACTCACCAAGAGGTTTTTGTCCGAAAGGTGCTCCAGCAGAGCTCTCCGGTCGTCAATCTCCTCGTCCCCCGTCAGGTCCAGGGGCATGAACCCCGAGTCCGAGTCCCCCGCCGCCCCCTCCCACCCCCGCTTTTCCTCCCCACTGTTACGACCCCCCCCCGCCCCTGCGGCACCCCCCTCCGACGCCGTCGCGACGGAAGACCCACCGCGACGGCTGCCACGAGCGCGGAGCTTAATGGATGTGCCCGATCGCCGAGCCCTAGACTTCCCAGCAGCGGCGGAAGATCGATTCTGCGGAGCCCCCTCGCGGCGGCCGCGGCGGTGTAGAAGACGAATGCGGAGATCTTTGCAGCTCTCCCGCCTCCGCGCGGCAAACGTAGTCGCGCTGCAGGTGGAGGGCCCCTGGGTGAGCCGGCGACCGCGCGGAGAATCACCGCCTGCAAGGGAAGTCACCGGGGTTTTGGGGGGGGGGAGGGTGTTGACTGCCTTGGCCTTGGAGGAGGAGCGCAGGGAACGGGGATGGGCTACCCGGTCACACTTCTGAAAGCGTCCGTCAGAGTTGCCGCTCTTGATTCGGATTGGGATTGGGAGTGCAACCCGTTCCGCGATGAGGTAGTCCTTCTCTGCTGCCTCTGTGGGCGACGATCGTGCGTCAAATACCCGGGGGCTGGGGCGAGGAGGTGTGGGGCGAACCCGCCCACCGAGATAGGCGGGGGGGGGGGGGGGAGGCAGCAGCAGCTAAGGCAACCAGAGATCATGGGGCTATATTTCGGCGACGAGGCCGTGTGAGGGACAACGACAACAACCTCGCAACAACCATAAATATCGGAATCGAAAAGGAGCAATAGCCGTGAAATGAACCCAGGTGACCGATCAAAATACGCCATTTTCGGCGCGGCCACGACAAGCGGAACACGCTTCTTATAGAACATATCTCGGGCCCCGTGTGAGGTGACAAAGTGAGCTCACCGACACGACTAACTGGTCAGCCGGCTAGCGCGGTCGATGCTAGCAACAAAAAAACACGCACACACCTCTTCTACGCGCTCGAACGTCCTCTTCAGCTCTACGACTGCGGCCGCGCGGTCCTCAGCCAAGGTCATCTCCAACGATGCTCGCGTGCCCTCGTCGAGAAGGTTGTTATGGGCCAGTTGGGAGTCGAACTGAGGGTGACAGATCAACGGATAGGTCAAGGCGGAAGCGAGTGGGGGGGAGTTGTAGGCTTGGAAGGGGTAGAGCGTGTAATACGTGTACCGAACTCTTGGTTGACTGAAAGATCGGCAGACTTTGGGACGTGGTTCGTTTCCGAGGCCGCAGGAGAAGATCGGGGGGAGGGGGGGGGGGGGGGACTCCTAGTCGTGGATGCCGTAATCGTT